GGGGGGGGGGGGGGGGGATAGGAGAGGTATTTTTCGGATAAGTCGAATAAGGCACTATCTAACCAGGTAACGGAGCTTCCTCGTAAAAATCTGGCTCATCTTCGGTACTCTCGTGTTCCGATCCTTTGCTGTCGAGTGCCCGTAGCTCTGCGGCGGTAAAAAAGTGGCTCATCTGAGCTCGTAGAGGTATCATGAGAATCAGGAAGAACGGAAGCGCCAAGGCCGCTCTGGTACTCTTTACGATCCACAGTATGGCCAGGCACAGAATTTGTATGAGGGTGAAGATGTGCATCTTGTATGTTTGCACACGTCGAACGTAATTGGCCGAGCCGTGGTGTTTTACCGGCATGAAGAACAGCTTCACTCGATCGAACAGTTGGACACCATTCGTGGAGGAGATACCCATGTAGAGAAACACCCCCAGGAGGACGGACATTGGTACGCGTCTTAGAAGCGGTGCCATCAACACGCTAATGCCGATCAACACGGCGACCAATAAAGCACTCACTCTTTGCTCTTTTACTTCGACGATGTGCGGTTTATCTCCGGGAGCATGAGTACGGGACATAACTGTCACCGCTGAGACGTGTGTCAGTGATCGAACCGAGGCAGCGCTGCACCACGGGGCGCCCATTAAACCACAGCCAACGTTCATCAAGCACACTACCACTATATCCATATGATAGCCGTTACCCTTGCGTAATTTTCGTTCTTTTTTATCAATAATTAGCCTACAAAAGAGAAAGAGGTATTTTTAATAAAGAGAACAATCGACGACAAGTACCTTATAAGAGAGAAAGAAGAGAATTAATTCTTACTCGGAGATTTGAGTTTCCATGAAAACTAGTATATAAACTAGCAAGGCTGGCACGATGCAAGCCACGGTCATCCATAGAGGAATAGGTTTGTGTACCCCAGCCGGTGATACGATCCAGCTTCTACCAGGTAGAGTTGGAGTTAGACCTTCCGGAACCAATAACTTTTCTGTTTTCACCTTGGCCACGAAATCGATCAATGCGAATACGACAATACTGATAGGCACACCAAAGTCACCAAAGGCTCTTCTGGCACTCCGCCCGAGGTAGTGACTGTTGCGGAAGATACGCAAGTAATAAGCACCGAGGAAAGTACCAAGACACAAAATGGTGCACATTAAGGCGGTATTCGGTTGGTTGATCAATATCCCAGCATCGTTATGTCCCGGTATGAAAGTCTGAGGTTTATTTAACGGAATGCCAATTATTTGACCGGTCTTTGGAGAAACGGCTTTGATCTCTGTTACATTCAGCGGCTGCTCATAATAATAAAACGTTTCATTTGTCTCGGGGATGAAGCTGTACTCTTCGAGCAGTGGGTTTTTCACAAAGTAATTATACAACTTGATGAACGTTTCAACGATGTAGAGAAGGGAAATCAAGCCTGTGAAGATTTCTTCGGTAAAACGGGTGAAGAGCCTGACCAGCACGGATCCCTCCACGCAGGCGATTGCCAAGGCAATGATCCCCATCCACGCACCAACATAGACTCTCACGGTTAAGAACTCGAGCTCGTTCGCTAAGCAAAAGTTATACAAACTTTCGTCGAAGAGCAACAATGGACCAGTCGTGCCTATGATCACCAGAGGTTGAGTGGAGAATAAGGCCATCACCACACCGGTCCAGGAGCCAGAGATCAGGGTCTCAGATATACCAATAATATTATGAGTCTTGTCGCTCATCAAACCACCGAAAGTAATGGCCGTACAAAGAGCAGCAAAGTACATGAAAATGGCCGCGGCCAAGCAAGATGAACTTAATCCATCGGTGAAGTCAGACAGATAGAAAGGATAACGTCTCTTGATGTCGTTGATGAGACAACCAAACGGACGCTTGGTTCTTCGCAGTGGGTCACCGTCGTCGGGAGGTCTTTTCTCTTCTTCTCCAGCAAGAAGAGCTACGAAGAGACAAGAAAACGTAAGTCGACGAATAAGTTTCGTTTATACTCTCTACATTTACTTCTTACCTTTCTTGACAGCCGCCTCGCTCTGAATCGGTTTACTCTTCTCTTCCAGCGCTTTGGCCTTCCTCTTCCTGATGGCCTCGCTCTTGGCCTTCAACTCGCTGAACGGCAATAACGCTTGCCTCTCCCAATCACCAGGTGGTAGAACGATCGAGTCGTCCAGGAACTCATTGATCGCTGATAGAAGCTCGCGTCTCTCGTTTGCTTTGTACGCGATTTTATGGAACGACGTATTGGCCATTAAGGTGGCGATCGATCTACCGATTTCGTGATAATCTAGATCAGCATTCCTTGGCCCCAGTAAGGTGAACATGAATCTTACTGGTATAGTAACTTCCGTAATCGATGGAATGAACACTCCCTCGGCGAGTCTGACGAAAGCGATCGTCGGCTGGTCTAGAAAATCCACCGCGCCGACCAGCACGACTGTCGCCTCGGCACCAGCCGGGATCCTCTTCAGTATGTAATCGTTGTGACTCTTTTTCAGGTCTTCGTTGCTGCTGGTATAGGTCAGTTCCTCCTTCATATCGACCACCGTGTGGTTACTGTCCAAAGCCAAGTTCGATGACACGATCTTTGGTTTCGTGTCGTGCAGGTTCTACATGGAACAGGAACACCAATTAGGATTACTCGAACATCCCGCCAGCTTTGAGTATATGCATACGATGCGTTGGACCAGGCAGAGGTTTTTAAACAGAACTTCCGTCCCTAATTGGACAAGCCAGACAGAGTTTCCCTCGTGCAGAGGCGGATGACTCATAATTCATAAAGCTACGCGTAAGATCCTTTCTCACGGTCTTTTCCTTTTTACAATAAAGAAACTCAATGGAAAGTCATTGAACACTACGTAGATTTCAGATTGGATCGCGTCTATTTCGATACAGAATACAGGATCCGCCTCCGTTTCAAACTCGAGGAAAAGTCACAGACACCCGAATCTGAAATATATATACTGTAGGATCAAACGCTACTTAAAAGTTCAAGTGGTGTACACTAAGCGAAAAATCGTACAGAAATAAAACATAAAAACAAATGGCAGAACCGTCGGGTTCGAACCATTAGCAACAGTTCTACGTGATGCAATAACGACACAAAGGAAACACGTATGAACGAAGACGAGGCAGAATACTGAGAAGGAAAACCAAAAATTGAGACAGATATCACCACCAACAAAAAAGAGAAACAGAAAAGAAAACCAAAAAATAAGGAAGAAAGAAGAAAAAGAGAAAGAGAAACAGCATCGGTTTGTAAAGTGAGATATGCAAATGAATGAGAGTGCAATCAGGAAATGACGTCCAAGCTAACGATGGTTACACCGTCTACGACTGGACAACAGTGTATCCACGTTCCTATTTCAAGTACCAAAAAACGGATATCAAGAAGCTTGTTCTAAATGCCGAACACAAATGGAAAAATAAAAAAAAAAAAATATATATATATATAAAGAAAAAGGCAAGCCAGAAAGTAAACGACATATACCCATGGACTTACAGGTGTCGCGCTAAGTACAAATCGTACGGAATAAGGTACAGTTCTACGAGCTAGCCGGCGAGAGGTGCCATTCTCCTACAACATCGTCCCTAAAACTAACTAGCGCTACTTTTACGCGCGCAAACAATACATTGTCATGACTCGCGCGCGGCTCTTTGCGTTTTCCATCTACGAGAACAGACATCGAACAACTTCCGCCGCGTTCAATGTGCATCCACGTGTGAGACGGTTTCTCGATACACATAAGTCAAACGAGAAGATAGGGAAGCGATGAGAAAGTTGGGAAAACACACTCATTTCCCTGTAAGTTCATGCCGAAAGATGTTAATGCGTAAAAATATCGGTATATATATGTGTATATATATATGATCGATGGTGGACAAGCCGTAAACTAGCGGTAAAGGTTGAAAATTCTGCGTTTTTAAGTCGGGAAACGAGAGATTTACATGTTGGGTTACATGGTTCTCAGAGGCTTCCCGCGCAGCGTCTTCTTCCTCCAGACAGACGGACTGTGGAAACAACATTAGGACACACCGTCAGTCAGGCCTCCCGTCTCTACGGATTTCTATTGATTATTTCTCACGATAAACTTTTCTCTACCGATATTAAGTCATATTTCTAGCTTTCGTTACAACATTCTTAAACTTTAGAATCTCACAGAGCTGAAAGTTGATCGCGGTGGTAAGTTAATAGCAAGTTGAAGCCAGCTCTATCGATCCGATTGACTCTACGACCATTATCGAACCGTTTCTCCTTTACATCCTAATTATTCCACTCCGAGGATCCCGTGTGTCGACAACAATCGAGAACCGTACGATATTCGACTAATCGAACGAGACACAGCACATTCATCACGTATTCGTCAACAGCGACTGTGCTCGAGCAGCTCACACAAGTAATAACGTTAAAGGAAGCTAAGTTTCCTCAGCGAGAACAATTACCTGCAGACTGGTGTAGCTGGAATAGTTGCGTTTCCCGCTAAATCGGAAGCCACGATCGTGATCGTGGACATGTCTGTGTCTGAGGAGCAGAGCTCTCATCACCACAGGCCTGTCCTCGGCAAGAATCAGTTCCTCGACCACCATCTGCTCCACCACCCTGTACGCTAGACCAGGCAGGTCTCTCTCCTCGAGATCCAAGAGAACAACACCGGTCTCGAGACATTTACGGAGATTCAACAAGGAGTGGAAGCTCAAGGAGGCTACGTGGGGCCTGCCCCATCTGTCCGCGCCTTGCTCGACGTCCTCCTCGTATTTGATCCATCGAGCCGTTTCTCTCCATTCTCTCTCCTCGCCGATCCCGTACAGCTCGTCCAGTTGAACGAACAACTCGTGAGGCGAATGGTCGTACATCTTTCTGAAGGTGTCGTGCGGGATACCACCTTCTTTTCTGCGACCGATCTGCACCGTCGAATGAGCCGCTTTGTGCCGTCTCATCCCTCGCGGATCGTCGCTCCTGTGCGACTCCAGGTCGTCGATGTCCAGTTCCTGTAGAGTGCTCGCCTCTTCCGGTTGCACGCTCACCCTTCTGGTGGACACGCTCGAGCCATCCGGGAGGCCAGCTCCCGATCGCTTCCTCCATTGCGGGTCCTCCTGGAGCGAGTACTTCCGCGATTTGTGATGATGTCTTCTGCAACGTACAATTAGTCGTCTCGTTACGTTCTAACGCCCTCGTCTACGCCACTGACGGTGACGACATCAAGGAACAAGCAAGCTTTCCAATTGTTCCCGAGTTTGCACAAACGTGATTTATGTTTTGTTAAGAGTCCGGTACAACGCTGCGAATAATAGCTGCTTCGCAGACTGTGAATACGCGTGCACGTGCCAGAACTGTTTTCGTGCTTTGTGCTGGCAGTCAGTCTAACTTGTCATCGAGGAAAATCGAGAGAAAATTTTAGTCGAACACGTTCATCAGCGGATATTTAAAGAGCGGCTGGTGCGTGATCGTGACGTGTGAAATGCGTGTCTAGAGTATTCCACGCTGGAGGACTTTGATGGACGTTGCTCTAGGGAGTTAATCGATCGGATGAGTCGATGTATGAGATGCGATTACACTGAACGTTCTCACGTGCAAGTCTGTCGCAGATTAACCGAAACGGGGAAGAAAATACTTTTTGGCTAGTCCGAGACGGGTGATGTTCAAGGTGTAGCGGTCAGGTCGATAGTCGAAGCCCAGAGACATGGTGGAAGAAGGGTGGAACCGTCACATTCGTCGCACTGCGATCACCTTAAAGACCGATGCACGACCAAACTAATTAGAAGAGCGCGAAGACAGTGGCCTCGAGTAACAGACTGTTTGATGCGCTTGCAGGGGCAGCGCGAATCTCTGGCCGAAGGCCATGACATTAGACACTAATCGCAAACTAGCTCGCAATTCCTTCCGCTAAACGTCGTGCAATTATCTACCATTAAAAGCGCCCCGAACACGGTAGAAATGTCCACCATCGTTTTGTATCCGATTATAAACAAATTACATAAGATTCCTTATCACGGTGACTAAAAGGATGTGACATTTCTTATAGCGAGTGTGGGATCTACATACACGTGTGTACAAGTATATTTGCGCGCGTGCGCGCGTGCATATCTATGCTCGAAAATACGGAAATAGGATTGAACATTTCTTCGCTCGCTCGTGACATCGAGTAAATAAAACGTGTAATCGTGTCATTAATCGACCACAGCAGTAAATCGAGTTTACGAATACGATATTAAAATCGTGTCTGCGTTTCGCTGGATTTCTTCGCGGCGGCACGAAACCGCAATCGATAGGTTCGTGTAGGTGATTGTTTGGATACAACGCACACGCAGACCTCCAAACCGGGATTCGTGCCGCACGGAAATTAGACAGGAATGTTTTGTCGTGTCATTACGGGCAAGGTTGACTCGCAATCGCGAATTCTTTCGATTCGACATTTCAACGGGACCAAGCTCTGTCAATTTTCCTCGTTTCAACGAAACCTTGGGATCCTGGGTTTAATAGCAGGTACGGTTCCATCGGTCGATGCGGTCTACCACCGACTTACTTGTGCTCGTGTTTTTGGTGCCTTCGACATTTTCGATCTTCGTCGTGATTCACGGGTACACCCACGGTCGGTACCTCGTCCTTCTTGAAAGTTGGCACCTCCTCTTCCTTGATATTCTCGAACTGTACCCGAGGGCTACCGACGGTGGGGCTGTCGCTGAAACAGGACGCAGCCCTCTCTGAAATCGGTGCCTCGCTCTCGCTGCTGACAACGTTCTCCATCTCCTCGGTGGTCTCCTCATCCACGTTCTGCACAGAGGTCGAAGACAACCCGTTGTTGTCCATCGTGTCTGATTCCTGTCCACCGCCATTTCCCGTTACCACTTGACCGTTCTCCTCTTCTGGCCCGACTTCCGTTGTGGATCCTTCGCTGTAAACGACAAATTTGTACCATTCGGTCAATTACTCCATTTCGATTATCGAACAGGGTCGACTCACAATTAGAGACTCGAAATATTTCAAAATTTAGATACGAAGAAACGAAAAAAAATCGGAGCTTCAATAGTTTTCTAATCTGAATATACGGAAGTATAAAAATTCGAGACTCCAGAGTTCGAAAGTTTCGACATGAAAAGATTCAGAAATACAAGAATTAAAAAAATTCAAAGATTCGAAGATTCAAAAATAAGAGAATTTTTAAAATACGAAGATTAAAAAATGAAGGGTTTCGGAGACAAGCAATTAAAAGATCTAAAAACTGAAAGATTCGAAAATTTTAGAAATCAAGAATTAAAAATTTGAGACTTCAAAGATGCAAAGATTTGCAAAAGTTAAAAACAATTAAAAGATCTAAAAATTGAAAGATTCAAAAATTTGAAAAATCAAGAATTAAAAATTTGAGACTTCAAAGATGCAAAGATTCAAAAGTTAAAAAATTTAGAATTTTAAAACGTGGAAGAGGAAAGGTTTCAAGGATTCAACAACTCGAAAATGAAAATATTTAAATATGCAAAATTGAATTACTAAGATCGTTGGATTTTTCAACATTTTTTTTACTGAAGGAACTTACGGTGAAAGATGTCGTCGCATAGACCTGGAATGAAGACTTTTCAAGGGCATGTGCGGATGAGGGTAACTTCTTTTGCGATGCTCTGTAACAAAGGCATCGCACGTGTATGTACTTAACGTGGGTGATAATCTCGGTTAAATAGTTATACCACAGTCGTTATCGCGCAACCATGGTCGAGCACGCGCGATATCGAATAAAACGGGGAATAAACCACGAAAGGGGACATCAAAATTCTCCGATGCCGTAACATTATATAATTATACACGATCGGGAAGCTGAATTATTTTAACCTTGGATGAAAAATTCCCATGAAAGATTCATTTACGTAACCACCTTCTTACATCCAGGATCAGGAAGGACGAATTATTGCGACTGGAAAGTTGGCTGCGAGATACCCGCATGCTCGTAAAATCTTATCGAGAAGGAAATGGAATTTGAACTGGTGATAACGGAGCTTGAACATATGCAGGATCACGTACGATTGAAGTCGCGATCTCCATATCGCGATGGTGGTCCTCGTTCTCGTTCTCGATCGGATCCAGCCGATTCGGAAGGTGAACCGAGTCGGGCTACGTCGAACTTTTCTCCGTTGTCCATCGCGAAAACCTTCTCCATCTCCTCGTCGAGTTCCGATCCCGCTTCCGCGCCATGACCGTCGACCTGACATCAAAATCCCATCCATTTTAAATCGCTCGAATCGTCGCTAAAATCATCTTAAAAATTATTAAACGATTATACAAATTATTTCGCGAGACATAATCCTTCCACCTTCGTTCCTCGATTGATAACCGATCTAACTTGTCCTCCGTTTGCAATTTAATTCAACGTCAAATGTCATTTACATGAGAAACAACGCGAGAGAAGCACCAGACGCTATACATAATTCGCGACGCTTAGCCATCGAATTTTAATTAACTTGCCAGCCATAATCTTTCTAACGAGTCTATTATATTCCACGAACAATTATCTCGCCGTTAGCATTATCATAGGCAGTTGCATAATATCGATCTATCCGGAAGGTGAGACCCCAAACACCTTCCAATGACGTTTACTCTCGACAGGCTAATACCACAAGAGCCATACCATGTTCTCAGCTAAACGACATTAAAACGCACTTATTACGGAACAAATCGACGATCACCTTTATCCCGCTGACAGTATCGAGTTCATTCGACTCCTTTCTCGCAGTCAAATCTCACATTTTACTTCGGACACGCGAGAAACACGAATATCCCAGAAACGATTCTCCAACAGCCTAATGTGCATAATATACATATGCATGAAGAGAAAAAATGAAAAAAGAAACCTGTTTCCACGAATGAGGCAAAAACAAATGAGCGACCAAATTGGAAATCCGGTTTAGACGGAACCGTGAAAGCTTCGATTTATAGTTTTTCAAGCGAACGCTTGGATAAACGATGCACTCGAGTTCATCCCTCGTGAGGAGGGTTACGAAATCGTTTTGTGTCAAAGACCCTCTTCTCTGACTGGGGAAAAATTTTCATCGCATCCCAATCGAAGCCAACGAACCTACGTTTATCAAGAACCCCATCGAGCAACGGTGATCGATCTCGAGGAAAGAGTATCAGCGACTTACACCAACGAAACAGAGTCACCAGGGAAATCAAGCCTCTTGGAGATAAACACACCGCCACTTTCCGATTTTATTCCCGATTATCACGAGGAGAGATTCGGAACAGGCATTCCATGCTCTCACGAGCCGAATCGAACTGGCTGGTTGGCGATTTACTTTCGAGACAGAGCCGAGATGTTTGAATGGCAGAGCGAAATTCCCTTTCACCGGTGCGCTTCATTTGCACCTCTTCCTTTCCGTTTACTTTGTACCCGATCCCTTTTACGATAATGGGGATTAAAGTGCTCGAGGGAACGGCCATCGACTGGCAGACGAGGAATTAATTCCCGTTTCAGCGGGACGGCTGAATTCTCGGTCATCGACGACGGCTAGGAACGCAGACCAGCGTATAACATCGGAGGGTTGCAGCTGGACGTTCGATTCGACGCATGTATATTTCGTGCACTGCGTAAATCGCGAAAGTGAAACGGCCTGGTCGCCAGAGATGCTCCACCGCCACCCCCAACCCGCGATGCGCCGCGAATTACGTCACATTGCTAAATCGCCACGGATCTAACGCGATTACGACCGATTGGTCGATCGGGTAATCCGGCAAGCGAGATATACGGACTGGCGAATCAAGTGCACCCAGTGTTACCGATGGAACCGAGCAAGGTCGCCGGAATCGATAACCTTTTACGCGAGACACGTCCTCGACGGCCGATGCATGGATCACGGATGCGAGAGGAGGCTTGGTCCGAGGGATCGAAGAACAGGCGGCACATCGCGCGAGATATAGGAGAGAACTAGACGTCGAGACTGGTGTGTGTGGTACGCATCTGTGGTCAGTCGCATGGAAGACGAAGGAACGTCGCAGTGTCAGCCAGTTGCAACGCGAACGGGTTCACCATCGACGAGGACAACGCGGGGGATGGTCCCGTCGAAAAGGAGGGAAAAGAACTGTTCACTGACAGGGATCAGCTGCACCGGTGCTTATCGCGGCGGTCTATCGCGGCGGCATGCAGGAGACACACTGGTGAGACCGCGTGAGAGATATCACCTGGTGGCTCGTCCGCAGGGAGCGGCGTAGCCAGCGGAGAATCTTGCCCGACGCCTGTTGGAGGAACGACTTCCCGGAGGAATTAGCGGCGGCCTCGGGCATGGCATCCCGGGCCGAAGTGACACTCGCTTGCTCGGCTCGTGCTTACAGCTCGAAAATCCAAACTGACGGAGAGGGTTGCGCTACCACCGGCCGAGAGACAGAGAGCCGCACATCCGGCGTGGTGGGGATGCTTGCGCGTAGGGGCGGGTCGCGGGGAGTACCTCCACCGGTCGATATCAACCCCATACGTCGCGGCCAGACGGATCCTTCCAAAGGTTACCCTTCCTCTCGGCCCGATCGCGCGCTACTCCCGGGACGAGCTGCGGGACACGCCACCCGATCTCGCGATCTCGCTTTTCTCCCTTTTCCCGAGTCCATCTTCGCCTGCGAAATTTTACCATCTGCAACCAGTCATTCCGATCCCACCCATTCGTCCGGGACCACCCTGTCCGCGCTTCCCCTTGTCCTCGCTAATGCACCACCTCGTCTATATTGAGTTCTCAATTGGGTTTCGTAGATTTGATCATCTACTTGATCATCAGATTCGATTCGTCCAAATTCCAGGGGAGATACTCGAAGCTACCTATACAGAGCTATGTGGCAAACTCTAAATTGCTCGATCATTTGGGTACTGCCGCTGATGACCCTATTAACGGTCGACGAGATTGTGAATAAGAAATTAAGGAGAAAAGGAAATCCTAGTAGAGATAAATTGAAAAAGGGATCTTATTTTTGCTGCAGATACGAACTGAGCCGAAAGGTATTCGTTGGGGATGATCGTAGAAACGATGTCACGTGTGAACATGACATCCTTGAGAATGCAATACCTTCGTCTCTGAACTTGGTCTCGCACAAGGTGGACCACTTCGATCACCTTTGATTATTTATTTATTAAAGAAAGAATAAAAACTGTGTCGAGTCAGGCAAAATCAACTTGAACAGCACATGATCTAGGTAGACGCATTAAGTAATCTATCCTGTATATTCCATTTTGGCCGAATTTTAAGAAATGTCCAACTTGATAAATTGGCAATGGAATTCTTTTATAGCGTCACGTGATAAATTTTCCGAAGATGCAATGAACTATGTCGGAGCATGGGATGATAATAGAAACGGTGTCAGCGCGTAGTCCTTGAGAATGCGACGCTTTCGTCCCTATTGAGTCCATCCCTGAACTCGGTTTTACGTATTCTAATTTCCCAAACTTTGAAAAATCCCTGGCTTTGCTATCCCGGCTAAATGTCACTTTAAGAGGTGAATTAAAAATGGAATTTTGTATTAAATATATACACGGCAAGTTTGTCGAAGACGTAATGAATTACGTCGGAGCATACTCGCTGAGCATGATCACAGAAACGGTGTCGTCACGTACAGTCCTTGAGAATGCAGCGGCGCCTTCATCCCTGTCGAGTTCATCCCTGAACTCGGTTTTATGGATTCTAATTTCCCGAACTTCGGGGAATCCCAAGTTCCGCTATTTTCAGCTTGATCCAATTCTATATTCTACCACGGCTAAACTGGGAATGGAATTTTGGTTCTCCGTGGGTAACGCGTACACGGTAAATTTGCTGAGGACATAACGAGCAGGGTGTGAATTGGTAAGTTCAACGAAAGAGATCTATCTCGACTTGAAAGACAGCGGAGCTTCGTGGTCCAAATCGTACCTGACGTTCTATCTCGAGCACACCTTAAAACTCCACGTATTTTCTATATCCCCCTAATCGAAGACATGTCCAAATCGATATATCTATGAGAAATACAACGGCAGCGCAGAGAGATACGATTTATGTACCGAAATCAATTGGAAAATCGAGTTCGGATAGACAGAGAACCCCAAAGGTCCGAGCTACCTGACCCCAGAGTCGCGGAATCGCTTAGCGAACGGGTAGCCTCCTGATGAATCGTGGTAACTAGGTCCTGGACATCTCCCGGGACGCGACGGATCTTCGGATAGCACCGGAAATGGGTGTACGGAAGAATAGCTGGCCATTGGTCGATGCTGCGAATGCAACAAGTGTCAGTCGGCCGTGAAATCTACCCCCTGAAGGGGCTGCTCCACGGACCGACGGAAGTAGATGGGAAGAAGCAGGGAATCGCGAGAGGGAGAAAGAAGAAGGGAGGGAAAGAAAGAAGAAGGGGTGAAACGAGCGTCGCGCCGAGCGTCGCGGTGGATTCACCTGACCTGGCTGAAGGAGAGGGAAGGGGGAGGAAGCGAGAGAGGAAGAGAAAGAGAGAGAGAAAGCTGTCAGCTGGTGGTGCAGCTGGCAAAGATGCGAACCGGACCAGCGCAACTTCACCGAGGCCTAGGTCGTAGCGGCAGCTTATCGACCACCGGGGATGTCAGCTCGATCTCCTCTGTCCTCGGTTTTCCCGGCAAGTCGCTTCTGCGTTCCACTTCCAGGCGCTCGCAATGGCGGGAAAATTTGAAATCGTTACGGCATCGTGAAACGTCGTAACTGATTCAAACGTAGCTTTTCTTTATTTCTTTTTATGATAATCGAAAGATAGTCCTGATGTTTCTTTTTGTATTTAAGGAATATATATATATATAGGAAATAGGTTTGAGTTGGAGTCGCTTCCAGTGGCGGGAAAATTTGAAATCGTTACGGGATCATGAAACGTCGTAATTGATTCAAACGTAGCTTTTCTTTGTTTCTTTTGATGATAATTGAAAGGTAGCCCTGATATTTCTTTTCGTATTTAAGAAATATATATTGGAAATAGGTTTCAGTTGGAGTCGCTGCCAGTGGCGGGAAAATTTGAAATCGTTCAGCGACCGTAAAGCATCATAGCTAAATCAGACGGTGCTTTTTCCACTTTTTCGACTCGATATCAAACCAATAATAACTAGAAGTAGTATTCACGTGTACTTTTGTATTTAACAAACAAATATAGATCGGATTACAGGTAAAAATGTGTAATTTTGTGACTACTGCTTCGATTATTATTTGGCAAATTTATCAAACTAGTTTTACAATCAATGTA